GAGACTTAACCATTGTAGGATAAGCATATAAAAAGTGTATAATATATCGAGGTACATCTCTGTGATTACAGACAGATTGGAAAAGATCGATGTTATTCTTCATATAGTTAATCGTGTCTAGGGATCTACGAATATAAAAAGCAAATATTAAAAATAACAGAAGCAAAGATAAATGCGATTTTAGCTGTGACTTTCGTCGCGTCGTTCGCATTAAGACTTAAATGTTCGTTTAAGTATTTTTACCTATCCAAAAAATTGTCACCCTCCAATTTCACATTTCTGGTTAAATCGGATATTGACCCTTCCTGAAAATGGATGTAAAGGAACAGCATTAACTCATTTCAACGAACATGATCGGATCGTTTTAAATGCCAAAACCTTAGATTAGATTCTCTATTTTTAATGGTAAATTTCGCAATCAATTTGACAATCTGTTTTCGTACGTGGATCTGAATACTCACAGATTTGTTACTCCTTGGTTTGACGTAATCTAGATTGGTGTAATATTTTTCTATAATATCACTGTCCATGTTTCCAATCGGAAAATCTACTAGGACGATTAATTAAAAAGATATGCGTGTTTTTACGATCGATTTGCGCAGCGATTGTGGTAAAAATAGACGAAGAAGACGACTCCACGTGCTCGCGGAAGAAAGATATTTGCTTTCGAAATGGAACGTTGAGTCAACGTTCAAACAACTATTTGTAAATATCTTTCGACCGATAATAATCAAGACGAAAAAGCGACGTAAATAACACTTTTTCATCGCGGTTTCGCTTCTCGATATTGTAAATAATGTCGATATGATATCAGTATTATGAAAACTTTGGTTGTTTGTTAAAATGATTTAATATTACGAGTTTTACATTTAACATTTGACTCTTAATGACGGCATAATTAGTCATTTCTAGCATTCTGTGATTTTGTAAAAAATTTTCTTTTAATTTTTCAAAAGTTATATATGATATATAAATACTCAGTGTATTTTAATTTCCTTTAATTAAATTATATAATTAGAAATATATATAATATATAAATGGTTTTTTAATTTTTAGTTTACAAGAATTACACACACATATGTATATGTATATGTATATGTGTAATTCTTTGTGAACAACTGAAAAAACCATTTTGTATGTTATATATACATATATAAAAAATACATATATATACATGATATTTAAATATAAAGTGATAAATTCTGCTTGGTTTACGCAGTCAATCTGCTATCATATTCTGCCGAGCAGGTTTTATATTTTCACTGGCATTCTGCCGACAAAATTTGCAGCAGACGTTGCGTAAAATCTATTTTTCACGGAAGTTTGGCTATCTGAAATAGATTTTTAATTTATCATTATACTGTGGTTTTTATTGGATAATTATGGATGATTATCCACAGAGATTTCTGACTACTCTAATATCCAACCACGTCGATTTCCAGCTGTTGCGGCGAGCCTTGATTAATCCACCGCGCATCCGGGAGGAACGTCTTTGTTTCATCGCCTACGACATATCCCCGAGCTCCATGTTCGCGTATTCCCGTTGAGAATGGATCCATTTGGCAACAGAAGGCCGATCGCTTACTTGACGCGGAAGGCGCAGATATCCTGTTGCCATCGCCTGAACAGGTACGAATCCAAGCCGGTGATCTCACGATCAGTACAAAGAGTCATCCTCGAGGAGAGAGAATGCTCGACGGTGCACGTCATTTGCGAACATTCGATTTCTCAGATACATTGCAATGTTCTAATTACAAATCTTAAAATCAAGTAGCTATTCGCTTGAAGACTTTAACAAAGCTGCTTCTCAGAAAGTGTCATTCTCGAAAAGAATTCTTTGCTTTCAGTCGCTTAGAAACTCTCTAATTAAGAGTTAATCGATTCTCGAACTTCAACAACTTTACATTCTAGTTAATTTTTGTAAAGAATGAGAGATTTTGATTTCTGTCCTTCACGTCTATTATTGAGAGTTAAAAATTGATTTTATATAGAAAAAAATATGTAAAAGTATATAATAAATGTTTATGTAATATATACGTGTATTATGTAAAGATATATTAAGTTGTTTCTTAGGGAAAAAAATTGATTCTCTGAATTGATCGAAGAATTCGTGGAAGATGTTTCAAAGCATTGGTCTAAAGAATTTTAATTTTAGCCTGTCCCTAAGTGATGAAGAGAATAAACGTGTGTTCGGAAAATGCAACAACAAGCATGGCCATGGTCACAATTATACCGGTAATTTGCATCGTTATCTAATTATCTTACATACTAGTACGCACAAAGTGTCTGAAAAAAATAGAGTGATGTTTTTTGTTGAATGTATTCTTCTCTTTTCCTAGCGAAAGCTCAAAATGCTGTCTAATTTAGAATTGTTTAACACATAAATTTGAAAGAAATTGTAAGGAAAAGATTGATGTTCTTACTGAAAGATTGAACGCCATTGTTTTTAATTATCTTCAACTTTAAAATTTTTAATATTAAATTTTTTTGATGATTAGACAAAATCGAGCTAGGATTAATTCACTTTCAGTGGAAGTAACCGTCCGTGGACCCGTGGATTCATCCACAGGGATGGTTATGAACTTGGAGGACCTGAAAGACTGTATGCAAAAGGTGCTGATGGATCAGATGGATCATAAAAATATAGACAAGCAAGTAGATTACTTCAGAGACACTGTCTCAACGACCGAGAACGTCGCTGTTTATATATTCGATGAGCTAAAGACGCACATGTCGAACCCCGAATTGCTGTATGAAGTTAAGGTCCATGAAACTGATAAGAATGTCATGTGTTTTAGAGGGGAATACGATTAAACTACATTTCCTTAATCAGATCATTTAATTGTACAGATTTGTTTATTTTTGATATTTGTTTGGTATTTTTTATTACATTTATATAATACAATTATACGATTGTATATTAATTACATTAAAACGATCGAAAATAATATGTAAATTACACGCTTATATAAGTAATATAGAAAATTCAACACATTCCAGTTTTGCCATAGTTTCATTAAACCAGAATTGTAGTTACAGTCTACAATATGGCAAAAAATAAATGCTTCACCCGTAACATTTTTTTTCCTTATTGCACATATATATATGTAGTCTCACATCTAAGACGGTTGTTAGAATCTTGAGATTCTATTCTAATTAACTAATAGGACATTATTAAGTATACTTATGCTATATCTTCATGCTTTATCCGGTACTTAAAATATAAAATACACACGCATGCGTATGATATTCTTAATAACGATTGATACGATTTGTATTAAAGCACATTTATAAAATAGTCCTTTGTAAAAAAGTTAACAAGAGTGCATATCACAATTATTCCATAAATAATTTCTAATTCGCTAATGTACATATATGATCATAAATATCTGCGATTTTGTAATCCCTACTCGTATGGGGAATCACTTCGTTTCTTTATGTACGCTGCTTTCAATTATGTACAGAACTTATTACATCATTTGTAACAATGAAACGAAAATGTCTGTTGTAAAGTTGTATACTCTCTTGGAAAGATCTGTTCCAGACTTTTAGATGAGAAACATTTTACTAACTAATATCACTAGAGGAAATGCTAATTGTCAGGTAGAAATATTAGGCTACTATGGGACATGTAATTTACTTAATCATTGATATTTTCAATAATCTCGTATGTTAAATAAATAAAAAGCATCTTTAGAGTAGCAGTAAATTTAGAATATCTCAAGTCAAGTATTACATACGCGCTCATTTAGTGATTTGTGAAATTATCACTGAATTAAGTATTCAATGCACTTGTGTAGAAATTTCTTGTATATTTTTTTATTTTCTTACACGATATAAAATTCAATTCTTGTTAATGACTTTATAATCGATTCTTTAAAACAAAATACGACGTCAAATATGATAAAATTTATATCTTTATAAATCACGGAACACCACACATCATCTGCGCATTTAAACGCATGAATATTGCATAAAATTCAAATGTTAGATATACTTCACCGTAATAAATAATACGTTACGATGTTAACGATCTCGGAGCTCTTACGAGAGCTATATATTCATATTGTAATCCGTATTAATGTAACTACGAATAGTCACGTACGGTATACCGAGTTCGAAGTCGTCTCTGGGCCAATACCTGAGCACCGGCGATTGGTGCGGCTTCTCATCCTGCACGGCGAAATACGCAAAAAGCACCCCTGCGGTATAACTCGCGATAAAGATGAACAGATGCCACAGCGCGTGGAGATACGGGAAGTTCAGATTCAGCCAGGTATCGCAGAACAGACGATCGTTCAGCCAACAGAATACCGCCAGTATCCATACAGCGCCGCATCGCAATCCTAGTCTGTATACTCTTATCGAGGTAGTCCTTCAAATTTTTTAAGACACCGTTACAACGTGTACTCCGTGTTACGACTGCTACATCGAGATACATATAATATCCCTACGTCTCCGTTACATTAATCATTATCGGAGTTTCTCTTTCTGTATAATTTCTATATCGAATGCCTGTACGAAGAAATTTACCTCTTCAGTTCCATGATCAAGAATCCGAACGCTGGTATGCCCAGGCTCATCAATGCGAAAGCATTTACGGCCGGATGTATCAGGATCAAGCCGGTAGCGATTAGAGTGGGCAACGTTGCGCATATAGAGAAGAGCTTTCTGTCGTTATGTACGACATTGGGGAAATATCTTCTGGGAAAGAATATACAGAAGCCTGCCATATACACCCACAAAATAGACAATTCATCTAATAGTTGACCTATCGCATATATGCACAACATTAGCTATTACGCAACTATCCATTTCACCGATTAAGCAAATGTATCTCGACAAATACTTTTAAATGCCATTTTTTTTTGTCGTGACACGTTATTCTTAAATTATTAAGGGATATATATATATTTGGAATTCTCACCTATCAAGGACAAAGTAGCGTGAAAGTATGCGCTAGTAAGCCCAACTACCATCAGTAAGAACCAGAATACATGAATTCCTGGATTCACAAAACGTGCATAATCTCTAAATAGGTGCATGAGCACGGGTGGAAGCAACACGAAGACCACATTGCTCAACTAAAAAATAAGAACGATAGATAAGTTAACAATGAAATACTGCTCTCTTTCTATACCTCTGTTGTATTTATCTTTCTACATTTTTTTCTATATTCATCTGTTTACATCTTTGTTTATTTATACAATGCAATCAATCGTGATTTAACATTGATATAATTCTGTGCAAAAAAATATTCTTGTACATTTGTACGTAAAAAACTACATTTGGTAGAAAATGTAATAATCACATTCCATCGTTTTAAAATGCGAGATTTAGTTCCAGATGACATGGTTTTCAATTTGCGTATATACTAGTAGTTTAATTCCTGGATGAATAAGAGGAGATAAAATCTCGTCGTACCAGAGGCTTATCAGAGATAAGAAACGATGTTTATGAAAATCAAGATACAAATCAATTATATAGGTACCCTCCCTCCCTCCCCCCCCTCTCTCTCTCTCTCGCCTTTGTGTATAAACATATTTTTATCTCGTTATCTTTTTAGTGTGCGTATCCTTTGTCTCGTTTATGCGTAGTACTATTTTCTTATTCGCAATCACAAAACACACGAACTTTGTCTCGGATCTACGGAACTTTGACCTATGAACTTCACGTTCATATTTAGAATCTGCTTCGAGCAAAAAGTCTACCTGTCTCAACAAAAAACTGGAAATCTCGTCTTGGTGCAACTCTCAACATTAAATACCTTTGTGACCAGTTTAGAAATTACCGGACATTGAGAATTTGTTGTCCGCTTGTACGTTTCACTCTCTAAAAAAAAAGGTCCTCGTTTAATTATAATTTAATCGCATCTTAATTCACGTGACTCAATAATCATTGATATCCAGGTGTCTTTGCTCAGGAAAAATAGATTTCAAATTGAGAATAAGCCGTGCGCATAACGTAGCTACTTATTCTTTATTTTGCTCGTACCTATAGAATAACATAATTTTCTTATCCAATCACAAGCATTATCTGGGGATCTATGGAACTTTCACCCATGAACTGTTTGACATTTTATGAATGTGGAATATCTGTACTATCTGTCACAGCAAAACAAATAATTGTTTACCTCGTGCAAAAAAGACTGAAAACCGGTTATCACAAGGTTACTCTCCATTTCTGTGGTGACTTTGATTTTATAAATTTGTTGACAAATGTAGAATCTGCCTCATACCAAACAACCTTTCACCTATAAATTATCTGACATTTTATAAATATAAATGTTGAACCTGCCTGTGCAGGAAACTATCTATTGCAGCAAAAAATCTGTCTGCCTAGTACAAAAGAAATTCAAAACCATTTATCACAGGTACATTTTGCATTTCAGTGAAACTTTGACCTATACACTTTTTGATAAAAAGTGGAATCTGCTTTGTGCAAGAAAACTACCTGTTCAGAAAGAAAAAAGCTGAAAACCAATTACCACTTGGATTAGTACGAATCTCAACGGTGAATATTTTTGTGACTAATTTAGAAAGTATTAAACGAAAAGCTTTTGTTGTCCTCTCGTTGCTCAAGTTCCTGGAAAAATCCCTCTCACGTTTCCGGAGTAAATTCTCCATTACAATTCTGAATCGCAATTGTCAATGACTCCAGAACCACTGATACCTGGGCCTCCTTATCCAGATCCAGGTAGAACCAATTTCCAAATTGACCGGAGAAACACGAAGGAGAGAGAGAGAGAGAGACAGAGAGATGTACGACAAACGCGCAATACGAACCGTGTTCATAAATTCGGCGATGCTGGGCGAGATGTTGTAGTTGCGCTCGCACCAGTCCACGGGCGAGCTGCCAGCCTCGAAGGGTTTCCACATGATTGCTTCCCTTCGGAATAGTTCAAGCTATATACTCGGCTCGACGTACGAATCGCGTTACAAGGGGAAAAAAAACTCAGGCCCTGGTGCCTCAAGGAATCATCGCACGCCTCGTGCTCGAACAATGGACACTCCTGTGCGACTCGTGCGCGCAAATATCGCAGTTCCGCCTGCGTGAAGGGGACGAGAGAAATGCGCGTCAATGCGCGTCTCATTCCCAGTTTAACGGTACCTCACGAACGACTGGTGACTCACTGACTCCGCTCGATCCACGCTCGCCAGCTATAATACCCCGCGCTGTCTCGACGCACTCGACACCGCGGAGAAGGGTGGATGACAAGTGCGCGCGCGCGCGCGCACGGCAACCAGCAACGAGCCCCGCGACATCAACGAAACGGCCAGACGCGTCCGACTGATAAGCGATACTACTAACTACATACATTGATACTGGTATTGATACATGGCCAAATCATCCGACATCCGCGATTGCTAGTGTTTGATCAACACCGTGTCAAAACAACACGCTTGCATGGGCGAGCGAGCTGTGTCGCACGTGCGCAAATACAATGAATACACGCAAAGTCACTTTTCCCCCCGCGAGATAATTAAGTTTCAGAACTCGCAGAACTCGCGAAGATGATCGCAAACACCTGGTAAAATCTGTTCTGTAATTCTTAACCGGAAAACGGACTGATTTTTTAATTGCATAACTGATCACCTAGGGTGATTTTTTACACCCTGATACACCCTGTGATTAAAAAAGTCAGTGTTATTATAATTACATATTGCATATTTTTGATTGTTTTATAATCTATTAATATTTGAAGACAATATATAGTTTTACTCGACATTTTCTAAAAAAAGTAAGAAACAAAATATTAAGATATAAAGAGATAATATTATTAAAATATAAAAAACGAAAGAAACACATTAAAATTACTGTGACGTTTCATTCCTTAGATATTGGGGTGTAAAAATCATCCCAGGTAGGTACCTATTTCCGGGTTAAAAAGATCAGTTTTAATCGCCCACCCTTTCCCTAATTGGCGACGTAAAACTCAAACGCATCTTCGCTTTTTTATGATCTTAATTCTATGATTTTTTCTCGTTCGCGCGATATTTATTTATAGATCCTGACAAAACGAGGTTTTACTTTACACGGGACGAAACGTATCGCGGAAGTATAATTAAATATACATCGCAACAAATTTGCAAAACACATTTCAACATGGTCCAAGATATTCGCGCAGTTCTCATTAATTGTACCAAAATAGATTTCTCGAAATTGGAGGAGATAATCGGGAGTCGTTCACCGCGTTCTCGCGCGCGTCTTCTCCGTCCGGACCGCCGCTATCGCCATGTCAACGTGCTCGTTGATCAGGGGTATCGCTTGCTCAATCAGGAGTACTTCCCCAGCCGAGATCTTTGGCAGGCCCAAGTTTCGCTTGACGCCTCCCGGGCCTAGTTCCAACTCGCTGGTGAAAAATCGGCAGAGCGGTAGGACGTCTGATCGCACGTAGGCGCAGGTGACGACGTGATCATGTCCAGTTAGACCAGCGGCGAGGTCGATCAGCAGTTTCGCAGCGGCCGTTCCAGACGATAACGATGGGCCCTCGCCGGGAAGCCCTGTCCCTGCCTCCTCGTCAACGGCCCGAAACGATTGCAGCAGAGTCTTGCGTTGCACCTGATAATTAATGGTATTAATTGTTATACAGAGAGACGCGCGAATTGTATAAACTTAATTATCATCTAAGTGACCTAAGTGATATTATACAATAGCAGCTGTATAAACATCGTTAACTGAATTAATGAATGAAAATATATTTTTATATAAATTAATTACATTGAGAAAAGAGGTCAAATTAACGCGTTCGTATCTTTTCTGCAAAGAGATATTTCTTTGTAGTAAAAATGCGTTAATTTGACCTTTGTGCGTTTAATATCTGAGCTATAAAAAGATGACTCGATTTCCTTAAAGTAATTTATATAATTTTAGTTTTTAAAAGAACTCGAAAGACGTATATATAGTAGAATTTTAATTTTTTTTTCTACAGATAAACACATGGCTATTTTATTTAGATTGATGCAACGGGTTTTCTTCTATTTGTCACATAAAACAGAAAAGAAAATTTCACGCGAAATGAGACAAGATTACCATCCTGTGTTTTAAAAAGCTCGTTTTTTCTTTCTTTAGGAAGAAACTTTTCAGTCTTTTTTCAAAGAATTAAATATTATTACAGTAATAACAACATTTGTACATACAAATTTGTGCATACTATTGAATAAAATTAATTTTTGCATTAATAAATTCCGCAGATGTTAAATGAATTTGAACGCTTTTTGAAAAGCGCGTCGTAATCAGCCTGAAAGTGGCAGACAGCGTTTGAATTTGTACTTGAAAAACTCTACCGGACTGAGATTAAAAATTAAAATTCCACGATTACAATTCTCGTTCGTACTTTCGTGAATTGGTTGAACGGAACGGTGCGCGACAATAACGGCACGACGGTTCGCGCGTCGGCGCCGCCGGCCAGCGGCACCGAGAGGCTCGCGCGCTCCAGGTTGAGGATGGCCGCCGTCACCTCCTCGATCCGTCCGCCATACATCGCGGTCGAGCCGACGATCCGGTCGGGATTCCACCAGCCCGAGGACCGGAAGATCTCCGAGACCATGGCGAGCGTGGCGGTGACGGGACGCGCGAACACGGCCACGACGGCGTCCGGGCAGAAGCGCAGTATCCGATCTGTCGTCTGACGCACGTAGTCGGCCGTCGATTTGAATTGCTCCCGGGTCGCCGCGTTGCCCGCTGCGCCGACGTCCGTCTCGTCCATGAGCGCGACGATGTTCGCCTAAACATTTTTTTTTTTCAGTATATTTATAGCAATGTTTTTATATTTTATATCATATATATGTTGTATATAATTAATTTAAATTTTCTATAGATTGTTAAGCTCCTAGATTATTAAAAAAATTAAAATAAAATTTCTTCTGGATTGCTAAATTAGGCCCGATATTTCTCTCCTTTCACGCTACTTTATTTCAACGGATCTATAAAGAAAATTTTCTGTGCAATCGGTATTTCCTTTCGGCTCTTACTTCCCTCAGGGCCCGCTTTATATCCTTTTTCCGAAAATAATCTATACGAGGACTGGTCTCCAGGTGCGACGCGTCCGTCAAAGCCTCCGACGTGGAGTCCCTCGTGTCCACCAGGCGTATGCTCTTGATAATCCGATATTGCTTCAAGAGAATCGCGGTGTAGAGAGGCGTCACTCCCCCGCCGATGATGCACACCCTTACATCGCTAGCCTCATCGCCCCTTTGCGTATTCTCATCCTTCTCCCGTCTCGTCGATCCTTTCGCGCTCTTCTCGACTCTCTGGACCTTCCGCTCGTCGATCGGAGGAACTTTCGAAGATCCGCGACGCGCGAAGACGGAACAACGTCCGTATCGCCGCGACAAATCGAGGAACAATCTCGACAGCACGGTCATGACTAAGTAATTTTAACGTTTCTCGGATATGGAAAAAAGAGGATGGTTTATAACATTTTTTTTTTCACAATTTTGCAGAATGGATCAAAATGAGAATATTGTCATGGTCGCGTGCAACTCATGATGGATTTATGCGTGGTCAAACAAGTGATCTGCGATATGTGTGAAACGCATGTGAAGCTTTGTACATAAAAGAAACTAAACAAATTGATACTTCTGTAACTTAGATCAAGTATAATGAAGGTGACAAACCCGTTTTTCGAATTAATAGAAAAAGATACTTTATTCTTTGTATGAAAAAATATACACGTGTATATACACGTATTACATCGTATGATATATCACGCTAAATATTATCATCTTATTTAAAAAAATATCGTAAACATTCTTGCAACAACTTCCAATAGTCTATTCATTTATAATTATTTTATATAAAAATTCCAGGTAATTTGAATCTAGCAAATCGACCGTCGATGAGGACAACGCGAAAAGTCGGACAGCGAAACGTCTTCGTGAGATAAGATTTCAAGCGGATAAGTATACGGCATATACGGTAAACGTTTGTACATTTATCGTAATCTATTGACACCGAATTAGATTTATTTAATTTCCGATACGATCGCTGCCGCCGAGTTTTCGCAAAAGATCGTTAACTCGTTGTCCTTTCGTTTGTCGACACCCGCAACAATTACAACGTAAATATTCTTCCTATCTTCGATTCAAATACTCCTTATTGAAATTATATGTCGTATAAATATATCCTAACGAAAGTAAATAAATTTGCAACGCAATTTTTTATTACGTCTACTTTTTAGAAAAATATCAATATGTTTTACACATAAAACGTTCAATGTACAATCTCCCACAGACAAATATTACACTCCGAACAACGGGGTTGCCATATGTCTGCTTGAATATGTACATACACAGACGAAGTCTTCTCACGTTAACGATTCCCCAGGCTCGATGATAAGGTCAGACATGTCGGGTACCGAACGAACCTTCAATCCTTTCTCGTTCGCCAGATGTAGCATGGATATAAAGGAGATCGGCACACTCAATGCCTCGGCGTTGCTTTTCGTCAGCAATTTTGGCAGCGCCTTGTATACGTCGCTGAACTGCTTGCTCTCCTTCATCGTATCGGCCTCGTCCACCGTCTCCTGCGCATTCGCCGCCATTGCGTTGTCAGTCGTTGACCTCAGGCAACTCCATATGGATTTCTTCAATTGTCGCATGTCGATTTTCTTCGCCTTCAAGCAATACGCGATAGGTATCTTATTAACCAGCTTTGGCGCGGCGACCAGATTGTCGCCGATGAGACCCTGGCTGCCCAACACGGCGGCGGTATCGCTGAAGTTGCAATCGTCATTGCCATCCCTACTTCCGTAATCATCATAGTCGTCATCGTGTTCAACATTGGGACAGTACTCCTGCGTGTCGTTTGGATTGTTATAGTCGTATCTCTCGCCGTCGAACACGTCCGCAGCGGTCGCCGCATCCCCGTTCTCTTTATCCCCGCTGCTCGCCGGCTTTATAAATACTTTCGGGTACAGGTAGAGCTTTCTCGTTTGTGCGATGTCGTAATGCACATCTTCCGGTAGCGACAAGCTCTCGGCGCTCCATTCTGCTTTTGCGGTCTTGGCGTGCAACCTAATGGACTGGCTCGAGGCAAACTTTGCGTCTATGGTATCGCGTGCCTCGTCGTACAGCATCTCGAACTGTTTTCTCTTTCGCAGTTTAGCCTGCATGCAAGCCGCTACCACCTTGGAGCCACCCTCGGTGGCAGTGAAAGATCTACCGAAATTCCAAAACTTCCAATGAGACGGGCCGGCCCAGTGCAACTTCATGTTAGGTTGAACGAAGGAGTACTCGGACATCCGGACGTTGGGTACGTCCACGACATTCACGTCTGTACGATCCGCTGTCTTCCGATAACATGCCTGAACGTTGTTCTCGTGGTTGTCGTCGTCGTGTTCGATGTCGAAATAATTCATGGGCTCGGGCGCCGGCTCATCGTCGTGTTCCACGCTCGCGTCCAAATCGAATTGAAATCCGTTGTCATTCTCATCAGGCTCGGCTTCTTCTTCGGACATCTCTTCCGGCTCGTTATTCACGGACCAATTGAGAAACTCGAAGTTCGAATACGACGCGCATATCTCTAAATCCGAGAAGTCCTCGATCGCCGGTATGGCGTACTTCGCATTCGCGTTACCTCGCGACTCGGGCGTATCCTCTATGACGTCGACGAGCACGTCGTTGTACGGATGTAGATAGAAGCCGGAATTTGCGTGGTTCGGCAGCGTCGCTTGGTACAGCATGTCGCTGGTCTGCAGATCTGTCTCGCCTATCATCGCCGAGATAGGCTTCGCGATCTCGACGTTGCCTCTCAGAGCCTCCACGGTGCTAAAGATCTTTTGCTTCGCTTTCTTCTTCTTTTTTTTCTGCACCTCGACATTTGCCCCCGCATCGTCCAGCATAGCTTCCCCCTCCTCCTCCGTGCTTTTCTCCGCATTGTCTATCACCAGTCCACCGACCATTTTGAGTATCTCCATGTGCACGCTGTCCACGCGATATCCGTAGATCTTGGTGCTCACGTCCAGGGATGTGCTGGCCACTTGCAGATTCGACATATTGGCATCTTGCTTCTTTATCATATACGTCATAAAGTCGATCATCTCCAAGCTAAATGCATTCTTGGCATTGATCTTGTTCTCGGCGCTCAGTTTTATGCATTGATTTATGCTCTCGGCCATCTGGGGCGCTGGAATATCCGCTAAGAATCCCAGGCCTAGGGAGAATCTTTTGCTGCTTGTACTAGGCGGCGTTGTCGACGTAATAAGCATCTCACGTCGACGAGCGATACGTTCCGCCTCATCGTCGTTTTCCGAAAGGGTGGCGTTTAAACCTGGGGTTTGAATGGACTTTCTTCGCAACAGCGATGAAGAAGTCGGCGAATTCTGTAGAGTTTCCAACCTCTTATGTACCAAAGACTTTCGAGAATCCATTTTTAAAAGATTTTTTTTTACTTTCTTCTTGTTTATATACTGCTAAGTGGTCTACGTGTCTGTCCTTGAATTAACTCCTATGCTCCTGAAATGAGCAAGCATATGTTTCAATTAACATGATACATTTTTAGTAATATAAATACAAGAGAAGTAAATTGTTTACTTATGTGATCATAATGCACACCTAATTTCTGTATAGCCATTCTGTACAAAAATTGTAGTTACGGAATAAAATTTATTGTAAATTATATTACAAATTGTTAATATAAACGACTTAGTCTAAATGTTTTGAGGATCGCAAGTTATTGCCATGTTTTCTTCAGGGATTTTAAAGCAATTAGTAAGTTAATCTTATCCAATGGAAGAACATTATCAGAAGCCTACAAAATCACGCCAATGAATTTATTCATTAGGAAAACAACTAATATAACAAGATTTTATCTATAATAAAAATATCTATAATTCTATAATAACAAGTTTTGAGAAAAGGCTATCCTTTAAAGATCAAACTGGAATCATTAAATACATAGTTTCTATTAATCTGACAATGAGAGGTTTTATTTTCAGAGCTTTACGGAATCACTTTATCATTTAATCACTACCAAGGATAAACTATAGAATTCTTTAAAGAATTCACTGTATTATTAGAGCTTCTAGAGATCACGGAATAAGGATGCCAGTTACAACAAACTCCCCATTCCAAAAAAAGAAAAAAAAGGAAGGTCGTTTGTCAATTCACAGGTTAAGTCAATTGCGTGTATCCAAAAGTATCACACTTGCCGGTACCCACCGTCTATCGCGGAGAAGTTCTTCGCTATTCTCTCGAGATCGGCCCTGATCAGCCGCAACAGAGTGTAATAACGCTGCAGTTCATCATAAGTCTGCTGCAAAACTTGCAACGTGCGTTTGTCATGAGAAGGCATCGGATAAATGTGTCTCGTGACAATTGACAAAATTCGTACGTGACACTCTCTCAACGTTTACGTTGGGATGCTAAGCGCCAACCTCGGTTCCGCCTCTCTGTCCACCGCACGTCGACGATCGAACGAGAAATACCGTGCCTACGACGACGAGGATCATCCCCAGATCACCCGGCCGGCAGTAAGTAACGGCGAAATACGTTGCGTTTCGCCGGTTTCGCGTGCGAACGATGTCACAAATTCAAATGTTTACCGATGCGGTTAGATTCATCGCGCGTTCCTAAAGGCGTTACATCAGCTACTTAGCTACATCTTCCTACACTTTCTGCACTTCAGTAATTAATTTCAAATAAAATAAAGCAATTACGGAAAATAAAAGTTATAAATTTTTTAAATATAAGCTGAGCTGAAAGGACAGATCCGATATAATAACTTTAATATGTGATCATTTTAATCGGCGCAAATAAAATTTTACACATATACTCCCTGCTGTTAATTAAATTTAATTAAATAAAATCCGTTATCTTTTATTTTCGGCAAATAATTTTTTTTTTTATTTTTTTTCTTAATATCTGCATATTTAATTTATGTATTATATATATATATGAATAAATATACGTTACAAAAGTATGTTAAAGAAAAGTATTTATAGAAATATATTATATTTTTATATTTTTTGACATAAAATAAAAAGCTTAATTATATCTAATAATTATTATTAGGACAAATTATTGTCGTATTAAATATTATTTATATTAAATATTAAATTTGTATCAAATCAGAGATATTAATTTTTAATACTCGGGCGTAGTTGCAATGTGTTTGATAGCTTGCTCCGTTTCTTTGTCAGGTTGAATAGATAAGACGTTATACAAGGCGCGTCGGAAGACAGACGTTGGTCCAAGAATGTGCAGGCGAACCTCGCATTTCTCTAACAGATACAGCCACTTTAATTCGCCGCGCTTTTCTACCGTCATTGCCTGCAATATAATTATACTTTTCGCATATTGGTCAAATTAATTTTAAAACTAAGATTATTTAACAGATATGAAAAGTTATTTTGCATGTCTCAATCTTGACTTCCATTATTTTGCTATTTCGTTATCGACAAAGAATTTTTTAGAGATTTATATATATATATATATATATATTTTTTTTTAGTACAATTGAAAATAGTTTTTCAGCCTCTAAGTAAATTTAAATAAAGTAGTAGGTACCTGAAATTCATCAGCTGTGCAGCCTAAAACTCGCTCCGCGATGTCGCCGGTTAAACGACATCCGATGAGATATCCGGTGTCGTCCTTCAAATTAATTTTGACGTTAAACTTTACAGTATTTAATGGCGTTCGCGTCCCATTGCCCGACGGACAATTTAAATTCATACAAGAATCCTGCACGTCCGCGACAGTCTTCTTACACAGAGCGCTAAAAGTAAAAGTGGAGAATGACACAGCGTGATTCTTTAATTGAATAATATAACGTGAATAAAGAAAAGGTACCATTTTATAAATATCACGTCTTTGAGTGGACCATCCAAATTTATTTCGGTTACTGACGCTCTTACGATTGTCGCGAATTGCAATCTCTCACCCTCCGTAGTTGGTTTCCTCTGTAATTTCTCCGTGATTTGCTGTACCGTCATTACGGTCGTGATGGTGTCCGCTATTAGCACAAAAATTAATATAATAATAATGATAATGGCAACATTTGAATTATACACGCACAAAGAATATAATTGCGCTAAAAATTTTATCTGTATAAAATATAGGAAAGAGAGAAAGAGAGAGAGAGAGAGAGAGAGAGAGAGAGAGAGAAAGGAAGAGAAAGAAAGAGGTATCTATTTTTTCCTTTTGCCATTATTATGTTCATTATTCAAAACATTCTTTAAGCGATAATACTGTAGATAATATCATAATTGATAATAGATAATTGAAATATATAATTAACAGACACAGCAATAAATGTCGCAAAAGTGACACATTAAAATATGCGCTATAAAATTATCTTTATGTTAATTTCGGCATAAAACATTTATTTGCTTTCCTTACGATTTGGTACGGCGAACGGGTCGCTACATACGGAATCAGGATCATAATGTTGCACTGCGGTCATAATATCTACGGCTTGCGGTACGTTTAGACACTCCGTGATCAACGTTCGTCTTGCTGCGTGCAATAGAGACGAATATTGCGAAAGTATAGTAACAAGTCTTTCCATTATTCATATAGTGCGCTTCCCCAATATGGAAAATATCCGAATATTGAATTTGAAAAACGTATATATCGCCATTTCTCTATTGTTTGAATAACTTAAAAAGGAACTGTTTTATATTTTGAAATAAAAGAATTTTTTATAAACATTGAGACACATTAATTTATATAGTGCTCTATCAAATATTTAAAGAAATATTTGAATCTTATTCGGAGATTTTCATGGCCCTTTATCAGATTATTATTTATTTTTTTTAAGAGAAATTTGATTAATCAATATTATATTAAAAGTCGAAATCAGATCTTCAACATACAGATACTCAACGTCGTTTTCTTTTTATATTCGTCAAATGCAATGCGAGCGTCAATCAGGAACAGCATTGTCTTCTTCGGTTCCCAAAAGGCCGATCTCTCGATCCAGTCCTTATCCCACAGCATCAACGACACCGTATTGTCCGTCGATCCGTCCGCGATCTCGAAACTGCGACACGTTAGAGCTCGTCCGTCCCGTGTCATTATATGACGCGCGTCAGCGATCTGCAGTACGTTTAATCGATATAATTACAGATTATTATAATCACGAGCATAAAGGTGACAGTTTTAATTGTTGGAGCAGCTGAAGATTTTTGTGTTGAGCTCACTTGAGAGAATTCGGAACTTTAGAAATATAGTTGCAGATTTGTGATAATTTCTAATTTACGATTAAATAAATTGTCTATTTTTCCATTAGCCCACGAGAAACGCGATGTCTGATTGGACTCGACACTTTACTTGTTGCAACTTACAAACGTAACGACCACCAGAAGGTCGACAAAACGATCGCACAGTGCCTCTATGTTGTCCAAAATCGTTTTCAGGCTTTTCGCGGAGGTCACGCTTTTTACGGGCCGCGTTAGTAGATCCTCGTATCCTTTGCGAGTCGGCGCGTCGTGATTCTGTACAAGGGCCGTACCCTCGTTCACAATTAGGGTGAAAGGGCTGGAAGTCGACGGCGAGAATTGCTCGTTCCTATCGTTGGGATTGCGTTTTACGATTTTCGCACTTATCACCTCCACTGTGAAACAGACACTCGAATCCTTTATCAAGACTTCGCTATAAATCTTGAAACATAAATTAATTATCCTTTTTCTATTCACGAAAAGTGATATTATATTTATATTTGACTGCGTTTATATTTATACATGGTGAAATAATTTGAATTAAATAGAAATTATATAGAGAATATATATTAAATATCTAAAACAAAGGGAAACTGCATGTACATATCTTGATATAATTTTTTAGATAACAATTACTAAATAATTAAATTAATATCGATTCCCTAACAGTGGCCCGATCAATGACGCTTAATTTAATTAGAAAATATTAATTTCAAAATGATATACTGCAAATGTGCACGATGATGACGTTGCGGCTCTTTGTAATTTATGAGAGATTTATTTTTAAAATATTTACCTACGGACCCGATGTTAAACGTGGTCGATAATTTCTTCACGAATTCCGTGCCACCCCACACGGTGACGTTAATAAAATCCTCCTCGGAGTCGCGCAAAGTAAATGTCCACACGCTACGTTCGCCATTGCTAACTGCAACAATCGACAAAATAATTAAAAGGGAGGAACAAAAGTTTCTTCTCTCTCTTTCTCATTTAGTATGAAATAAGTTAAAAGATCAAAAATTTAATATAAAAGCAATTTATCCGAGTTATTCGTTAATTTCTCGAATTTTAACGACGCGACGGACGTTTAATGGAAAATCGAACGCGCGTTCGTGAACGACGAAATGACGCAACGCGTAATTCAGCAAGCTTTTCCGTAAAAAAAGGACATTTTCCGCGAATCAGAGTCCATACGTTTCCAAATCTCTTTATCCGTATCTTCGTTCTAAATGCGAGAATGTGCAATAGGAAAGAAGAGAAAAAGAATACGACGGAGATGCGTACACCTGGCTTGAGTGGCGTCGAACGTTCTCACGTTCGTGCTGTTTATAATCACGCCGATTACGAAAGTGTTCGGCATGCCGTCCTGCAGCGATTTTATCTCCTGCCTGTATAGAAACGACATGTCCGACCGATCGATCAACGCGTCGCGTATACCGTCGTCAGTTTGTCAAGTAGATCCGAATAGAAGAAGGAACTGAAGGAAGGAAGGCCGGAGTAATTTGCGCGCGAGCACGCTCTGCTTGAAGCTTGAAGCGCAAGTCAATTGCCAACTGTACTCCGTACAGTGCGTACTACATACAGCTCGCGATCGCACTTTGCAGTCGGACCTCGCCGCACCGAATTCCGCTAACTTCGGAGTGCACGTCTACGTCCAATGGAAACGTTCATTTTTCGAAAGAAATACAAATGAATACAAATCTTACTTTTATGTTTATCTTTTTCATGTAAGACATATTCTTAGAACCGAATCTGGGCCATATAACAGAGATTTATTAATTGTGTTTTCAATAACATACGTCTGTTGTAACAAAAGTTGTTTTATGTGATAATATTATTTTATATTTTTTATATCAATTCGATTTCTTCAATTTGCGGTTGCCGGTTTTCAAATGTCGCGCGATACCTTGTGTACCCTGCTTTAAGGTGAAATTTCATGGACAGTGAAAAGCAGCAGCAGGTCGTACTGATTGGCTATAAAATAGAGGAGTTTTAGAAACTCGAGAACTTCTCTATTTTGCAGCCAATCAGTACGATCTGCTGCTGCTTTTCACTGTTCATGAAATTTTACCTTTAAAGTCTTGATCGGGGGGGGGGGGGGGGGTATGGGGAGGGTTGGCAACCCTGACGGCAATGACAGACACCCTCGCCGTTGGCCGTCTCCGCGATTCTTGGGACAGTCTTGGAGCCTAGGCCTAGTGACGTCGCGAGGTCGCGGGGGTACGGGTACGCGTCGGCGAGATCAGGTGAAAATATATTGACTTGCAGTTTGCAGTCGATGAATCGGGCCTGAGAGGGCTTCGTATACGGGCGGAAAGGAAAGAAAACAATCGGACCGACGTCCGCCGAGATGGCCGACAGCGAGCAGAAGGCGTTGCACCTGGTGGCGGAGGCCGAGAGGAAGCTGTCGTCGTCGAAGGGCTTCTTCGGCACCCTGTTCGGGTGAGACGATCGATTTGCCACTTGAACTCGCCCGATCCGCGAGCGCGTGTACCTTCGCTATTCTCCCTCCCCCCTTCCACCCCTGCGCTACCATCCCGCGTCGTTCGATCGCGGATCGCGGGTCGCGAACCGCACGACGTCCTCACCGTCCTCGGTGGCGCGTTATTGCGACTCCGTTTTTACGTCGTTCCGACGTCGCGCGACACCCCCCCGTGCGTGCGTACGCCACGGACATGTGTCAATACGTGACATCTGTGAACGGTACTTATTGCTGTCCGTAAGATCTGTAAAACCGCCCGTCCGTTCGTGCTGCTTCTCTGGAAATCGCGATCCTCTCATACCCTTCATCGAAGAGTCTCGTTTCGACCGATATTGGGTGCTTTCCATTTACTGACACACAAGTCGACACAAGTCTCGTTCTGTCTTTGTCACTCATTAAATGCCAAGAGAGATAGCTGACGTTTGTGTCGACTTTGTCACTAAATGGAAAAAAACACCCATTATATTGTGTCGTCGAAGAATATCAAAGTCCACCGCGTCGGTGTCGTTACCTTGCATCCGTAACATGAGGCAATGTTCAATTTTGCAGGAGCTCGTCGAAGGTCGAGGAAGCG